TCAGCAAAAATAAAATTGTTATTAGCTTGCCACATCTACTACCAGTTAGGACGTTACAACCATGTCAGGAGGAAGTACAATTTATTATAATTTGATAAAGAAAAGTGAAAACAGTACAAGTATGCCGATTAAAGAAAATTACTCTAAATAAAAAACTGTAAATGCGCACTTTTAAATTCTTACGGTGGTAACCCTGCGTATGATGATCGCATTACCGTAGTAAAAACAGAACTTCTGATCTGTCTTTAGAAATTTGGGCGGTGCTGCAGTCCCTTCAGCGGTGCCAAGTTGACTGTCGGTATATCGAAGTGCTGAAGTGTTTGTACAGTAGGGCTACGATGGCTATCCGAGTACAGAACCAGAGCTCGAAACCTATCCAACTGCAGAGAGGTGTAAGACAGGGTGACGTTATATCCCCGAAACTCTTCACCGCTGCTTTGGAAGACGTTTTCAAGCTACTGGACTGGAAAGGATACGGTATTAACATCAATGGCGAGTACATCACTCACCTTCGATTTGCCGACGATATAGTCCTTATGGCAGAATCGCTGGAGGACCTTAGCACTATGCTCAATGACCTCAATGGTGTCTCCCAACGGATAGGTCTTAAGATGAACATGGACAAAACAAAGATTATGTTCAATGTCCATGTCACACCTATGCCGGTAGTTGTGGGGAGCACTATGCTCGAAGTTGTTGACGAGTAGGTTTACCTGGGACAAATAGTCCGACTAGGTAAGTCCAACTTCGACCGAGAGGTCAATCGACGGATTCAACTCGGCTGGGCAGCGTTCGGGAAATTACGACACATCTTCTCGTCAGGTATACCTCAATCTCTGAAAACTAAAGTGTACAACCAGTGCGTGTTGCCAGTGATGACTTACGGATCAGAGACGTGGTCCTTCACTGCTGGCCGTATGAGGACGCTCAAGGTCGCTCAGCGAGCTATGGAGAGGGCTATGCTCGGAGTTTCTCTGCGTGATAGACTCAGAAATGAGGATATCCGCAGTAGAACCAGAGTGACCGACATAGCCCAACGGATTAGTAAGCTGAAGTGGCAATGGGCCGGCCATATAGCTCGAAGAACCGATAACCGATGGGGAAGAAAGGTTCTCGAGTGGCAGCCTCGTACCGGTAGGCGTAGTGTAGGGCGACCCCCCACTAGATGGAGTGACGACCTGGTAAGATATGCAGGAAGTCGATGGATGCAGGTGGCTCAGGACCGTGCTTTGTGGCATTACTTGGGGGAGGCCTATGTTCAGCAGTGGACTTGTGAAGGGCTGTAATGATGATGATGATGATGATGGATTTTAATAGAAAATATACCTAAAACTTGTAAGTTTTACTATTTTAATTATTTATCAAAACAAGACCCAAAAAATATGTTGTCACTGCTTGTGCACCTACCCCCGAAAAAAAGTTTTATACTGCTTCTCGTTATTTATTTAAAAATATTTTCTATTTTTAATAATTTTGAATAAGAAGTAGAATATCTAAATATTCTACTTCTTATTCACATTCACATCCATGAAAGACATACGCGTTAAAAAAGTGCATTTTAAATAATATTTCAAAATTTTACCGCAAGTATAGATGGGCTTACACAAAAAGGTATTTAAAATTAAATTTTAATGATATTTTAATAATACTTTATTGTAACTCAAACAAATGATGCACATGTACCGATTAAGCTCTAGTCCTTTCCATACTTTATGATGAATGGTTAATAACGATCGTGCGATGGGTTTGATTGTACGATGCAATGAAAACTACACATTTATTTTGTGATGTCCGAATTCGCATGAGCGCGGTAGCGCAACCGTGAGTCGAGTTAGAGACGAGTAGTGACCTATAAGAGTAAAAAAAAACTGTGCATCTCAGTAAACAGCTATTGTTAGAAATGGTGCCGTTGCGGTGACGATGCGGCGACACCTGTTGAACCATCGCACGGTTTTTTGTATCGTGAGATGAAATCGCATCGTTTGATTGTACGATCGATAGTCAAATAGGAAGACGCCAACTTCAATCAATCATTGAGTCATTCAATCTTTCCTTTCTTTCATTATTTATTTATATATTTATAAGGATTACCAACAGAAATTACAACAGTAATACAATGATCATTTTCAAAAAAAAAAAGCACATTATAATTGTATTTATTTTTATAGGTAGTCACAACATGCATTGATTATTTAGTCAATGAAAGGATTATAAGATTTGAGGGCTACTCATCACAATATGGAAACCGATGACACCTTAATTGCTCTTATTTTTGTTGATTTTCCTGAGAATGTTGTTTCACATGGAGAGTTGCCCGATTTGGGTTTTTCGCGTCACGACCTTATATATACTTCTTATAAGCTCAAACCCCCAAGACGCTTTGTCACTTACTGCCTGTACGCAATTTCTCTAATATTAATAACGTTAAGTTAATGAGTGACGCTCGCGATCTCACTTCCAATTGTTTGGTAGCAGAACCTACAAATTACGTTAAAGTCTCTTTTCTTAATGATAAAGTTGTCAGCTTGTTTGATGCTGATTCTCTTGTCCACAACGTCAGTTATAGGTGACAGGCGTGAGTGTATATATATATTATGTATGTATATTTTACTTTTACTTTTGATTACAAGAGAGTCACTAAATGAACACAAAATTACCTGAAACAGGGACGTGTCGCGATTATGAATCAGTTTTTTAACCAAGTCACGTCTAAGCTCGGGTTACACCCTAACGCACTGAGGGATATTTGCCGCCCTCATAAGTAATTATATTAACTCAATAATGTTATATAAGGACATTGATAGATCTGGGACTAATCGCCTGCCGTAGATTTCAGAGTAGTCGAGCAACCTAGGTTCAATTCGACCCAGTGCTTATTTACTAGGTGATCGGCTGTGAAGAAAAATACAGTGAGTTTTTTTTTATAAAACGTTAGGATCTGCAAACTAGGATTTCCTCGTGTATCGTAGAGGCAGTTTACATAAATTAATTGCACAAGGATGAAGATCCTGACTGAATAAAATACTTGTTCAGAGCGGAATTCGAACCCGCGGCCCTTAGAGATATAACTCAATGCTAAGCTCATTTATGTGGTAGAGCCACGCTGCAGCTATATCATGCTTGTAGCGCAAATGCGTAGGCACAACCAGGGAAGGACCACGCTCTCACAGAATACAAGAGTAAAGTAGCAGCTGAATGCTGTTGTGTTTCGTATGGTGAGTGTAGAAAACCGGAGACCCTTTATACTGGAAACGAGGCATTCCATCTCAGTCTTAATGTGTATGTGCCATGGTATCCACTTATCATCCGATGAACTATGCATGCGTTTATCAAATAGGTCAGCGGTATAAAATATTTGGAATATGATATGTGAAGACTGCCAACACGCACCGGAAGAACGCAGCAAACAAATTTATTCATAGGCTTTTCAGAATTGTAATTTTCATTTACTCATACTGTAATATTTTGGGAAAACTGTATGCTAAGGTACTGATTGAAAGGGTCATGAAAGAAACTGTTGGAAAAATTTGGGATATACAAGCGGGATTTAGAAAGGGAATGGGATGTACAGATCAAGTCTTTTCCATGCGCATGATCGCGGAGAAGTTTTTGGCCAAAAACCAAAAGGTTTTTTGTGCGTTCATGGACTTAGAAAGGGCCTATGACAGAGTGAATAGGGAAGTGCTATGGCAAACACTGAACTCATTTGGGTTGAGCGCTGGCTTGATACAGGCATTGGAGTCTCTTTATAGGGACTCTACTGCTTGTGTTAGGATCAAGGGGTCTACTCGGACTGGTTTAACATCCATAAAGGTGTCGGACAGGTCTGTGTGGCTTCCCCATGGCTGTTCAACCTATTTATGGAAAGTTGTTTGCAAAATTTGAAAGTTGAAGAATGCGGATTAAGAATGGGTGAGTTAACCGTCATATGCCTTTTGTACGCCGATGATCAAGTTATTCTTGCGTCGTCGGCGGCCGAGTTGCAAATGATGGTTAAATTAATGAACAGATCATTAAAAGAAAGGGGTATGAAAGTAAACGCAAGTAAGACGAAGGTTATGGTTTTTGAAAGAGAAGAAAGTAAAACGATTTGTGAAATAAGAATAGAAGGGGAGTTGATCGAGCAAGTAGATGAGTTTGTATATTTGGGCTGCGTATTTAGCAGGGATGGGAGATATGATAAGGATATAGAACGATGAGTGAATGCGGGAAATAGAGTAAATGGGGCCCTGCACTCTATTGTGAAGAGTCAAAATGTGTCGAAAAAGGCACGTATGGCAATTCACAGTGCTGCGTTGGTCCCTACTTTAACGTATGGTAGTGAAAGTTGGGTGTGGCAGAAGATGCACGAGAGTAAAATCAACGCAGTAGAAATGCGGTCCTTAAGGAGTATGTTAGGGCTGAATCTGAACGACAGGGTAAGATATTGTGTAATAAGAGAAGAGTGTGGTTTGCAAGATGATGCTGTGACCAGTATTAAGAAAGGAGGAAAGAGTGACAAAGAAAATTTAAGTTGCAGAAGTGAACAGAGTCGGAAAGGGACGTCCTAGGCGAAAATTTAACGACCAAACTGGCGATTTATTGAAGGAGGCGAGAGAGGTGTGTCAGGATCGTGCCAAATGGAAGTATGTAGTCTCTACCTACCCCTCTGTGTGACAGGCATGAGTGTTTATGTAGTGTATGTCATACTGTAATATTTTTTATCTTTTTTATCGATTTCAAAAATGAAGGAGCTTTTTTACTGAACACACAGTCCAGTCTATAAGTATTTTATGTGTCACATGTCTGGTTCTTACTGCGACGACGAGCATACGGTTCACCTGATGTTAAGTGACAACCGCTGCCCATGAACATCCGCAACACCAGAGGAATTTTTTGCAGGAGAATTGCAGGTGCGTTGCCGGTAGAGGAATTGCAGGTGCGTTACCGGCCCTTTAGAAAGGAGTAAGTTCTTTTGTTTTCTTGAATGAGGCTGCAAAAATATGATTTACTGGGCGAAGATGAAGAGATTGGCGATGACAACGGCCATGCAACTGAATGTATTCGTGAGCCACATTCCGATGATGACGACGCCGTTTATATTGGGAGTGATCACGACACCAATTCCGAATGCTCCGAGACTGAAGAACAGGGTAGTAACTTGGAAAACGTACCAAGCCTTAGATATGCCTGATCGACCAAGTACATCGCAAGCTGATGATATTTTACCGAAAAATCAGCGCAAACTGCAAGTATAGCATTACTTGCGCTGATCATAAGAAACAAACTAAGACTGCTTATCTTTGCACTGTCTGTAAGAAGCCAATCTACCTTACTTGTTCCAAAAAGATATACCAAGAATGTGTAACACGTTAGTATGTTAACCTATTGCACGTTTTGAAATTTTGTATAGTGCCATTATTAATTATTATTATTTTTAATTACCTCATAATGTCTTCTATAAGAATAATTATTTTATTTTGTCCAAGAACTACAACATTTATTTTTTCTTCTGTTAGTCGTAGCAGACGATTTTTGATGGCTGTTAATTTTAAAGTATTTGTAAACTTAAGAAATGTGCATGTTAATTTGAGTTTATCACAAAATGTTACCGGATGTGTACGAATTATTGTGTTTGCTAGAAGTCTAATAAATAACAACATAAATAGTATCTTTCGTTTAGTTTTTATTTAAAAAAAATTAAAACATGAGTCCTGGGGACTCATGGTGTTGATAAGTGATATTTATTAGGGTGGTAAATCAAGGGATATTATCATAAATATGTTGGTTATTGAATCACTAAATTTTACTTCACAATTTATTAGCAGTTACTAGTCACTATGTAACATGGGCCTTTATAATAATCCACTGTATTACTCGCTTACATCCTGTATATTTACCGAATCGAAGATTTAATATACCCTTTTTATGTGTTTTTAAACTTCTAAACTCTGTATATCATACACAAGTACTCAAATTGGTTTTATTATCTGTTTCGTAATATTACATAATTTTTGAGAACATAAATGTCTATAACCGTAACCCTAATTTTATTATACTATCTGAAGACATGTTTTGGATAAGTAACTGTATACCTTTTGTTCGGTGAAGGTTTTCATCAGCTGAGAGTCGTATGGCAGAATGAAATTATCTGTTCTGCATTGTGTTGTAGAAGTTTTCGAGTGAGCATTGTGTGAGGTAATCTTTTGGGATTGCTCAATAGTTCACATCATACCATTAGTATTCAATCTGTTTAAAGTTTTAAAGTTTACAATGAGATTTTCTCTAAATTTCGTGAATTTTCACGGTGATATAAATTTTTATACGTATTTTTAAAAAAATCTGGTAATCACTTTTAGTAAATACTTGTGGTAAAGGATTGTAGAATAAAATTAGTTATTTCATCTTCTTGAGTTTTCTTCCCTTATTCTTTACTAATTTCACTGCCCTCAGATTTATTTAACTAAATCGTCGCGTTATTTAGTGCTGCTATTTAACCATTTAAGGTTACTAAATGATGCTAGTTTACAATCAAAGTAATGGTTCCTTATCAGATTCCATAACAGTCACTTGTTGTATAATTTATTTTTGTATGTTGTAAATATTGTGAATAATATTTAACCATACGGTTGAACTATGGTAAATAATTACAGGAGAGATCAACTATTCGCTTTACAATATTTATAACATACAAAAATACATAATTCAACAAGTGACTTTTATGGAATCTGATAAGGAACCATTACTTTTGATTGTAAACTAGCATCATTTAATAACCTTAAATGGTTAAATAGCAGCATTAAATAACGCGATGATTTAGTTAAATAAATCTGAGGGCAATATTTCATGCATATTTATTTATTCAGGAATTCTTAATCGTAGTACGTATTCTGAATGCATAAACTCTGACCTAAACACATTTACCACAAAGAAGCCAGTCCAAATTTTTAAAACGAGATTTTTTATTACGTTTCAGAAACCGTGCCGAGATATCATGCTAAATAAGTTAAATAAAAACGTAAAGTGCAGAATAAATTTAATGCTTTATATTACGTAGGTCACTCAATAAGTTTTGAGATGCTCGAAATTTAAAAAATGGAACTCACCCGTGTCATATGCATTATATATGCATTATATATTCTAAATGCATTATATATTCTAAAAAGCAAATTTATTTAGAAATAGAAATTCATCAGCCAATTGCTCAGTATTAAAAAAAAACAAGTTCTACTAATTTTGCTGCAACGCTTCCCGCGCTTTTCATTTAAACCAATGGATCTTAACCGTGAACATTTGCGCGGTATCATCAAAGAAGATTACAATCGATCTTCATTGCAAGATAAAACAAACTTAATTCTACTTTTACTGTAACCAGTTAATTTAGGAATAATATTCCTTTTCAAGTTTTTACTAGATTTAAATATAAGTATATCTCAGTATAACTAACAACATCATGTCCGTTAGTGCAAACAATGGAATTTGACAAAATGTTGTTAGCAATGCTGCAAAAAATACACATTACAAGTGTAAATATTACCAAGGGAAAACACTATACACTGAATATTTGCATATCAAAGTCTACCTTCATTTACGTTTTAGTTTTGTATGAATGTTACATTCGCGGCTCGGTATGGCTTCCATTTTATATATGCGCTACGTTTATTAATTGTTTAAAACCTAAAATTAAAATTTATAAAATGTGCAGTAACAAATGAGCATACTTTTCACTTGATGGTAAGTGGATACTGTGGCTCATATACCGTTACCATTAAATCCAATCAGAAGTCCACTGCTAAACATAGGCATCCTTCATATATTGCCTCATAGGAAGGATACTTGCCACGCCTTGCAGGCGGGTTGGCAAACACGGGCGGTTTTAGAAAGACGTTGTTGCCACTCTCCTGGTGTGTTTCCTTCTGTCGCTTCTTACGAAATCCACACACAATTTGTTTTACAACTTATGATAAAATCAATACAAAACTAAATGTACTTACCTGTTTATACTTATATATCAAAGTGATTTTTACACATCATTCTTCACAGAATAGCGATCTATTTTACAGTAGGTCTTTTAAGAAAAGATATTAATAATTATTGTCGGACTATGATTTTATGATTTTATTGTAAGAGTTTATGCATTATTTCAGAAAATCCTTTCCAGTTTTTCCAGTATTAAATCAGACATCAGCGAAATACACATACCTAATTAGAATATAATAATATATAGATTATATATTAGGTAGTACTCAGAATAATAATAATTCTTTACTGACGTTTTTATAGTTCACGTACTTTTTACACACATTTTTTTGATATGAAAGAACGCTGACAAAATAAGGATCGAAAGGGCCTCAAAAATAATTCCCGTTCGTCACATGCCCTACATAGAGAAGACCTCATTAAGTATTATATATAATAATTTATATTTCCGACTTTTTGAGTACTTTACAGCACACAAGGTCACGGGGCTGAAGTGAAAACGTCTGAATATCATATTTAATCACGGCCTTAAAATTATTAATTTTTGTTCCGATCGACGCAGTATGAACTTATAATATCTTGTAGTCTTGCAGTTGTGTACTTGGGTTGGGATTACTACGCATACTACGCATTCCTCATTTAGTGATATCTAAGTTCATTGTCTTTTTAAAACGTGCAGCGTTTCGTTTCAAAAATATTTAAAATAAGGCCCTTAAAAGATATTGATGTTTTGATGATCATATTGAATATGGTTCTAAATAACGACGAATGTGTTACCACGACCACGTGCTCGGCGGTGAAGGAAAACGTCGTGAGGAAACCTGTATGTCTGATAAATAAGAAAAAAAATATTTCGAAGATTTCGCCAACACGTATTGGGGCAGTGCGGCGGACAATTCCTTGCTCTAAAACCCTCTCAGAAATGAGCGGAGGCCTGTGCCCAGGAGTGGGACGTATATAGTCTGTAACTTTTACTTTATGTTTGTGCAAATAAAAATATTAAAATGAAAGAAGCGAGATAGGTGCGGACGTGTCTGCGCTCACAGACGATACGGCACGGCACGCCGTGTCAAGGGATTTTTTTCATGGACAAAATATTTTCGACCTTAATGATTGATGAGATGAAATTAGCACTGGCATTCCTGTATTTCAACCTGAATAGACCGACACGTCTTATGCGGCATAGCGGCATGCTGCGACACTTCACGTCATTCCATGGGATGCCGCGGCATGCAGTTGCACGCATAAGCTACTTCATGTTGTTAAAGTAATGTGACTGCAAAATGGTTTAAGCAAAGTTGAATCTAGTTGTTCGGCAACACAAAACTGCTGCTGAAATAAATCTACAAATTTGGGCGTGGGCCTCGTCCGTCATAGAGAGAATACTCTTCGATCTTTATGCTCAGTAGGGTTAGGATTCCTTCTGGGTATACTCCATGTTAGTCTACAGAGGTTTTGTTTGTTATTTCGGATTTATTAAAAAAATAAAAAATATATTTAATTGCCTAAAGAAAATTAAATTATAGTTTATAATATATATATATATATATATATATATATATATATATATATATATATATAACGATATATATATATATATATATATATATATATATATATATATATATATATAAACAGTTATTAAAACACTAACATAGTATCTGTATTAGTTATTGATCAAAGAAAAAAAGGATTAGAATAGTTCATATCCTTAACAATCATATTGTACAATATAGACGTGCATAGTGTTAGCAGAAAGATATATTAAAGTTAGTAGAAATAAATAATAAGAAAAAAGTATTCTCATACATAGTGTATTCTTTTATTGAATTTTCTTTAGTCTACCTTGTTAGTTCACTTAGATTTTGAGGAAAATTTATATTGTAAAGCCGACTTTAAGGCTTGTCTCACAACCTGTACCGGAAAAATTGCCCGCATTATTTGGTTTATTTTTTTTTTAATACTTTTATTCTTTTTATAATACGCCAGCTCTAGATTGTTATTAGCGTTACAATAAAATGTCGACTGCCTTTTTGGTCTAGTGATCAAATTGGTAATCATGAGATCCCGGGTTTGTAGCTATCATACCAAAATCATATATTGGGGTTTTCTACCAAGAAAATTTTCAGAAGCAGTTCCCGGAATCAGGAAGTTGGCGGCGCTGATCTCGTTTGCCTCGAAAAGCACGTAAAGTCGTTAGTCACTCTCCGGTCGTGTCGTGGGTAAAGGAATAGAGAGTGCACCTAAACTTGCGCACGCACTCGGACACTGTTATTCT